AATTAAAAAAAAAAAATTATATATGTTTTTTAATATTTTCTGGATAATAAACATATAAAATTTTTATAATTAAAAAAATTAAAAGCCGGGTCATTTTAAATTCACATGTTATGAGAAACAATTAATTAACTTTGTATGACCTAATATTGTATGTCACAAGATGTAATTTTCAAAGAGTTTTAATTCAGAAGGTTATTTGTTATTGGACTAATGTACAAGCTAAAATTAATCCTTCCTGATAGGCGTGAGGGTGTTTTGTTATAACTTTTGGTTGAATATGAAGAGAATTTCTCTAATGATCTCTTCTTTTTTTTTATTTGTAGAGATTCTTTGACTTATAAAACAGTGAGAAACAAATGTGAGAGTTTACAAGAGCCATCTCTAGACATGCTAAATGAAAAGATAATATAATAGAGTAATATCTATATATTTTTATTTTTTCTGGGTTAAAAATATAAAATAATATATATAGTATATAGCGAATTAGATAAAAAATCGAGTCACTACCTAAATCTTAAATTGCTTGAAAAAGCGTTATTTTGTTACACGAGTTTTTCTACATCTGTCAATTTAAATTTTAAAGGATGTCCACCATCGACTGCAATTTCAGTACCAGTTACCCAACTACCAGCACCCGAAGCTAAGTATAATGCTGCTCCAGCCATATCTAATTCAAAATAAATTTTTATATAAATTCTAAGCGATAGTATTATAATAAATAAGATTTAATGTTTTGCTAGTTACCCTGAGGAATGTCATTATTGCTTATTTCAAAATATTTATCTGGTTGAGGTTTAGTCGGAACAGTTCCAGGAGCAATCACGTTGACATTTACCCCTCGCGGACTGTTCAATATTAATGCGTATATGTATACACGTTAAAGAAATCTTTAAATTTTTAATATGGAAATACAAACTTTCACAAAAAAAAAAAAAACATCATACGTAAGATGAACAGCTAAGTTCTTTGCAACGCCATGTGCGGCAAATTTGGATGAGTTATAAGGCAGAGAACTTATTCTACGAGCTTGCATTAATTTGATTTCTCCCTCGCCGATACCTTATTGTTAAAAGGTAATTAATATTATTAAAGATGATATGACTGTATAACCTTTAAAATACATACCAACAATGCTTCCAGTTATTATAACTTTTGATGGATCAACAGGTTTTTTACTAGCCTTCTCGAGTAGTGGTAAACAACTAAAAGTATATAAAACTTTAGTTTCGATGCATATTCCTATGAACCCAAGAAAAATGTAACACATAATTACTTACGCAATCGTTAAATAAAAAACACTTTTAACATTTAAATTAAAGAGCTTATCCCACATATCTTCGGGAAAATTAGTCAAAGATTCCAAATAAATTAGGTCAGAATTATTCACCAGAATATCAAGTTTATCATTCCCTAAATTTTTAAAATCAGTGACTAACTTTTCGCTAGCATCTGCTGAAACATTTCCAAGGACCCATTTCTGTTAATTCCTTTGCAACTTTTAAATGATAAATATTATTAATAGAATGATTAATGATTTATTAGATATTATAATTTTAAAAAATATAGAAAATTTTAATATTAAATATAATAAACCTTCATCGAGGGTCTTTTTGGTCCTTGAAGCAATATAAACTATAGCACCATTCTTCACGAATGCTTTTGAAATCATTTTACCAATTCCTGTACCACCTCCTGTAACTAATGCTATTTTGCCCTTCACTGAGAATAAAATAAATTCGAGACAGCCATTTTTGAAAGATGTGTTCGGGTTGTTACGTCACGTAGTATTTATTATTTCGACGACTTTATAATAAGACAGAGTTAGGTTAAGAAAAAACTGATTATTTTTATTCAAAGATCGAAAAGCATGTCCTTTTATAAGTTTGTGTAAGAGTAGTAGTGTAAAGCGATAAAGGCTATTTTCTTTAATAGAACAATGACTAATCGATATATCGAATCCTGTCATATTCAATTCAAAGTTACTGCTATAACAAAATCGCGCATGCATTGTGCGTTGTTCCAAAACTAGTTGCAGCAATATTTATTATTTTTTTTTGATATCGATACTGTTTAATTTAACAATAAAGGCAATTAATTTTTCAGATTGTTACAGGGGAAGTTGGTTCGATTCCAATCACAAAAGCGGGAATGTTATTTATTTTACTAATCTTACTATTTACTTTATCCCTTTTGTAGGTTTCTCGCCAGAGGCGTGACGTTGGTGATTTGGGAAGGGGAATTCAATAATTATGATCAACCTTATGTGCCCCTACCTCGCACATAAGAGTCGTTACCAACCTCTAATATTATAACGTCCTTTAAATAGTTTTTAATTCTTATATGCAATGGGGGGCTTTGCTATCGTAGAGGCTTTGTCAATTGATCGCCGCTTCTCAGAATTTCTTGGATCGATTGTTCCATCAACGTATCCCTTAAGTAATAATAATATCTTGAGTCATTGTCTATTAGTGGATTTTTCTCATGACTGGCCACTTACGCGTAGGGTTGTGGGCACGGGACACGAGGCATGCCTTTGGGCATGCCCCCTAGGCATGCCCTGGAGGCATGCCCTTAGGCCAAAAGGCATGCCTCTTTCATGTGATAATTAATATTTAATTACGTAGTAATGTGACATGCTGATTGGCTACAGTATTGATACATAAATCTGAAATACTGATTAATAAGTAAACCTCAGCATATTTATATTTATTAGAGCATATACTTAATGCATCGATTTGTAAATGAATGTATTTATAAGATGATATTGTAGGAAATCAATAAATTTTATAAATTGGTTTATAATAAATAAATATATATATTTGTTGTACGTATATTTTCTTTAATAAAATAAATGTATTTTGTGGTTATTTTATAAGTAAAAATTATACTGAAATAACTACCAACACAGCTTATCGACACAGCATGGTCAGCACTATAGTTAAGGTTAGAATATGGCAAAATTAGGTATTTCACTAATTCGTATGTACCAGATATATCACATGATTTATATATAGAAGGCATGCCCTGGGCACGATATGGGGGGCATGCCTTTGGGCAAGGCATGCCCTTTCAGGCATGCCCAAAAATTTTTCCGTGCCCACAACCCTACTTACGCGGCCAGTCGTTAACACTATCTGGGAAAAATCCATTAATACCCAACTACTCAAGATATTATTATTACTTATACTGTATTATGTTAAAAGCTGTTAACTAGACAAGAGCTTTTGTACGGTTATCAATATGATGAAAACTTGCAGTAAAGTTTGCTTTAGATTACGGCCTGAATTTCTAAGGCTCCAGAATGCTATATTAAATTTGCTAAGCAATGCATTGGTTATAAGCCTCAAAAATTATCTATTGCTTTGACATTTAGAAACAAAAAAAAACAACTTAACGAATAATGAAGCGTCCAAAAATTATAGAATTGAAGGTATTTAATTTAAAAATTACACTTAATATTTATTTATTTATTTATTTAAAATTAATCATTCTATATTAAAGACTTTGTCAAAACAAACCTATCGATTCTGAAATAAAAAAATTGATGATTGCATATAAGGGTTTCAACTTTGAAATATTTTCTGCAATGATTGGATAGTTTCAAAGATTGAAAAATGTTAATATGAGAGCACACAAACTATCTTGTATCATTGCACTTAAGATCTGGACATTCGATGTTATTTATTGGACAACCTGATGTACAATTATTAGTCTTGTAGTGAGTTTACTAATTTTCCCTAAGTTTCTATTGGCTGGGATTATTCGCACCAATTTTGCATATCACCTTTCATTCAAAATGTGATATTTTAATTAGAGTTAGTAGCCAACATTATACCAAAATTTTGTAAGGAATTTTTTTGTTAGTACGCCAAAGGCGGTTTTTTAGATGAATTTTTAAGATAGATGTGACTTTACAAAAATTGTTTTGATTATCACGTTACACCTGATCTTGCTCTCTGATTGGCCAAAATCGAAACTTGGAGGAAAATTAGTAAATGCGTGTTTGTGATTGTCTATTTGTCTTATATTACAATTTTTATTGACTATTTTCACGATCTGTCACACACATAAATCTTATTTAAATAGATCTGAATTTCACTTTATTTTTACAAATTTCGAATTTTTAAAATTTTATTCACTGGTATAAATAAATTTTCTTCTTCAAAATGTTCTCTTCATTGTCCTCCTCATCAATCTCCTCATCAATCTCTTCATTATTAAATGAATTTAACAACTTATTACAAAAAATTTTTTAAATCAAAGACCACATAATACATATGACATTAGGGTGCGTCATATGATAATTAATCAAAACAATGTCAGGTGCCATAGTAAAAATTGATAGTACAGATTTTATGCATAAATTGATCGACAAAATCATCAAAGTAATTTTACTAGTCCAAGATTAGTGTTCAAAAAGTTGTTCATTTTGTCTATTAATTATTTTTTTTCTAGTAAATTTTGAAAAAAATTAATTAACGTACTGTAATGAAAAGATCTATAGTCTAAAATAATTTAATTAGTTAGATGTTTTTAAATGTTGTAATGGGAGAGCTTCGCATTTGTTAGCGATACATATTTCAAGCTAAAAAAGTAAATCGTTTTTGTTTTAAATCGGTTATTGTTAGAAAAAATTTAAAACTATAACCTCAAAGAAAAAATGTTTATCATATTTCACAATAAATTTTATCATAAATTTTTTGCTAGTTTTTACTCTGAACCTTTTTGAAATTCGAATATGCCTAATCCTTCCAAATGTAAAGTACATCTAAGAAAAGCATGTGAAGTGCTTGCACAGAAATGCAAGTTGATGCCGTATTAAGTTATTATTAATAAAATAAATAATCATTTAAAAAAAAAAACAGATAATGAACTTCAAAAAATATATGACACTATTTGTAATATATCAAATGTTAATGAATTGAATTTGTCTAAGAAATATGATACTATAATTAATATCATTAAAGAAATACCTGAATTCAACCTTAAAGCAGCATCCTCTCTTTTGTGTACTATGAGATATCCACATGGAAAAAATAAAGACCAAATCATATTTCCTTATTTACAACACAAGGCTTTTAAATATATATCAACTTCGCTTTATATACCTGAAAAATCATCAGAACAGTTAAGATATTAGAACAAACAGCTTAAGTACAACCTTAATAAATTTGAGCAATCCAAAAAGAATGTAGTCTGTAAAGTTTAACAACTTAGTGGTTCAGTTATACAACTTAAAGATAAACATCATCGACATATATCCCGAATTCGTATAATAGCCAAGTATCCACTAACATTAAAAACAAATGATATGAGATCAATAATTAAAAATCTAATTCAACAAAATAAAAAACAATATAATTTAGATTTTATGAAACTTACCACTAAAGTTTCTTAAGTAAATCAAACATCCTTTAATACTGCAGCAGAGAGTATAAAAATAATTTTCAATTTTTTGACTAGTGACAATACCTAATCTTGGATTTCAGATGCAACAATTAGGTGTTGGCATAATGAACTTTCAGAATTGCATATAAAAAATGTATTTCAACAAGCCAACTAGTCAAATTATTTTACCTTCAGAATTATGACTAATAAATCAGGTCGAGGTAAAAAAAAGATACTTGTTGAATATTTTATGTTTTGGAATTCAGAAAAAAATATGCCTGATACTATCCTTTTAGAGACAAAAGATCTTTTACGATGCAATTCTGATACTATTAGTCAGGCTCTTATAGAAATATGTACAAATTATAATCTAAATACTAAGCAATGCTTTACTTTCCTTACAGACAACATGAATTATATAAGTGGTAAAGTTAGAGGTGTTGTAACAAAATTTAATTGATTAACTCAAAATAACTGTGTCAGAATTCTATGTGGTTTACATGTTTTATATTTAATTCTAAATAATTTTGAGGAAACAGCATTTGGAAAACTTCCATACGGTGTACTATATGGACACAAAGTGATAAAATCAGGAAACCAGAAAATCGGAAATTGAAATTTTGAGATTTCCGAAATTCAAAATCAGGATTTTCGAAATTTCCATTTTAGAAAAGATCTACAATGCAGATCTTGCCTATATAAAACATGAAATATGACACAACATAATTTACGCATTTTTTTTTCTTTTATTTAGAGATAGGACCCAGTTCAAAATTGATATTCCGGGTTACTCACCTGTTTAAAATTTCATTACTGAGTCACCAACTAGGTTACATCAAATAATTCCATTGATCCAAGTAATCTAGTTGACTCAGTTATTCATAAGTAGCTGCGCAATGTTGTCACATGAAGCCAGGAATGGGAAAGTAGCATATTACAATGCTAAATATTAATGATACCAACAATCAGTAAGTCAGTTATACAGTAGAGACATTACCTAATCCAAAGTGAATCTTTCTCTATTTAAATTAGGTATTTATAAATAAGTATTTCATGATTTTAATTCTACTGATTAACGTTAACAAATCAGCT